CGCATCAAGATCCGTTGCGTAGTTTTAAAGATGTAAGGATACATAGGGACAGACAGACAGCGGGACGACTTTGTCGTATACTATTTAGCTATTATGCTAGTAAAGAAGCAAATAAAAAGGAGTAAAATCGTTTGAACATCTCATATTTGCCCCGACCATTGACTCGAAAAATTGGCTCATTACTGGGAAACGTCGTGGAAAATGTATCTCCAGAAGAAAACTTACAACAACCGTTATGTAATACTTCATGTTAAATGGACCTTTTTGAGACGCGAGAGGGATGGTTTTCGAAGACGTTTTCGAAAAAGGTTTGCTCCAGAGTTTTCTTTTAATGGGAAATTAAAAATACTAATAACGGTACTAAGATTCACAGAGAACCTTGTACCTTGAATCCGATCGTGACCCACGATAGGGTCACGATCGGACCCACACAGGGCGCCGGAGTCATTAAATAAATAAATATATATATAAATAATAAGCTTTATTAATTCCACATAGCACATATTGATTAATAGCCTAATATAAATAAAAGTCTTTTTAACTAAATTCGATTGCATTAAGTGCTGATTATATTAATTCATTAAATAATAAAAATAATAAATTCATTTGATTGATAGGTAATTGTTTTTTCGTGGCATATGGACCCCTTTCGGGTAAAAACCTCCTCCAAGGACTTTCATGGACATTTGTGTCTAGCCAAGGATATCCAATTTAATTTTTATTTGACGAAATTATTAGCTTAGCTTTTTACAAAAAATTTGTAGCCCTTTTTACGAAAATTGATACGAGGAGTAGGAAATTTCCCACACTTATAGTTAATATAGAGAATAAGTGCAGAACGCTAGTATATTTTTTTTAATTATTCATAAAAATTCATAAAATCAATAGAAAAGACATCACACACTCTACCATGTATAATTAATTATGGTGGAATTTCGACCACAAGGGGACCAGTTAATGTAAATACCCACGTTCCTGGTCGGCTCTCGTCGCTGGCAACGGCCGTCAACGGCCACACGTCATAGTCCATACCGAGCCTCAATGGCCAGTTGGTGACATTCCTCGCGATCTCTCACATACTCGAGAGTTCTGGTGAGTCCATTAAGTTCTGTGATAGATGAAGCGTTCTAGTCTACGGACTGAAAGAAAAAACATCAGTTAAAGTAAAAGTAAAGCTTGTTAACAGCCTCAACCGATCCGTACTCTCTCGGACTCGTTGTTTGTAAGTGTAAGTAATTTTGAATTAGAATTCTCTGCATTATTAAATGATCTATACAAAGATACATATATAGCTTTTTTTAATAATGCCTATTTGTTAATGCAGGGTGAGATTGTACCCTGATGAGTAATTAACTGTTATGTAACATGTTACAAATTCGTAATTTGAGAATTGATGTTAACGTCCCTTGAACTACGTCTACTAACGTCGAAGTTCAGATTTTTTGATTTTCTTTTATGTGAAAAGTTGCCAAGCGAGCAGGCGGTTCACCTGATGTTAAGTGAATACCACCGCCCATGGACATCTGCTACACCCGAGGATTACAGTTGCGTTGACAACCTTTTGAAGATCGGGCTCCGGCTACCTCACTCACCAAACGAAACACGAAAGTATTTGTTATACTTCCACTTTACGTCGGTCTTCTGTGAGGTCGTGGTACTTACCCGGACAAGCCTGCTTATTCGTGCAACAGCCGAGGCTGTTGCGTGGCCCTACCACAGTTAAAAGATTTATTAATTTCTTGATTTCCCATGTATGTACGAATTACACACATTTTACGGTAGCTCGGCATTTTCATACTATTGTCATCAGGATGTCAAACGGTCCCATGACTATGAATGTTATTAACCGTTTGAAACTAGGAGTTTGAATTAGTAATAAATGAGCCGAGATACGATAAATTTATTAAAATGTAACTCAGACTTGCCTGCCCGAAGCTAAGGCCTGCTTTTTATTTTTTTTTTATTTGAGAAGGTGGCAATAGAACTGGTGGTTCACGTGATGTTAAGTGATAACCTCCGCCCATGGACATTTACAAAACCCGAAGAGTTACAGATGCGTTGCCACATTTTAATAGAGTAGAAGTATAACACTTCTACTTCGCGCCGGACCTGCCCATTCATGCAACAGCGTAGATGTAACCCGTAGGCTTGCAGATGGCTCTACCACAGTTGAAGATAGACATTCCTCCATAGCATTGGATCTCGACAATTTATCTACCCACATATGTTTAAACTTTTTTACTTTTCATTGCTGGTTAATACTGACGATAACAATTTATAATTCAAAAACCTCTCCGTGGTAAAATTACAACGCAGCGCGTTCTAACTGACAATTTTCACTAGCTGTTACACTTATCTATACTTGACGATGGCGGTTGTCTTATTAGGCTGTTGATATTTAGCGCCACCTGAGCGATCGTCACGGGGGCAGGAACGGAGCGGGAGGGGGGGGGGGGGGGGGGCATGTAATTGTCTTTTGTTTAATTACAACCGTCCGTGGCCGTAGGTCAGCAGCTGTCAAGTGGACGACGCAATTAACAGGTCTTAGTTAAGCGCTCATGTTAATTTTTTCAATGGCGCCTAAACGTCTCTGGGCATCTATATTTTTTCACGCCACACTATGAATTTCTGCATCATGAGTCAAATGTTGTAGCGAGTCAGGGATGGATTTTTGCAACAAAAATTTGCGAGATTTATCACTATACAATTAGGTGAATTAATGTTTATGTTTAGTATTAAAAGGAAGACCAAAATCTAGTGCTATTATTTAATGGAAACGTTTAAAAATTGTAAATTGATTTTTTCATTTTTAAACGGCTGACTTCCATTTTTGTATCCAAAGTTGATAGAAATGGAAGAGTTTCTACACTGTAAGTGAACAATATGTCATTGCTTCAGTTTTTCATTGCCTTCAACTAGGTTTAAAAAAAGTTTTGTATGTTAGAAGGTGGCGGTTCACCTGATGTTAAGTGATAACTGCCGCCTATGGACATTTGCAACACCCGTAGGCAAAGTGGGCCCCGGCTACCTCACTCACCAGACGAAACGCAGAAGTATAACATTTCCACTTTACGCCGGTCTTCTGTGAGGTCGTGGTACTTACCTGGACGGACCTGCCCATTCGTGCTACAGGGAAAATTTTTGCGTAACTTTACGACTTTTAAAATTTAACATTATTACTTGCGGATGACTATTATTCTCCGATATAATTGGATTGTATTTCCTTGGCTCCATCGGTGCGTCTAAGATGATGCTCGCAGGTTTTTAGGTTATGGGATGCCGAGATGATATTCCAATCGTTCGAGTCTACTTTCAACGTCCAACGAGTGGTCACCAGCAACGTTTATCGTAATCTATACTTATATAATATGATAAAACTGAAGAGTTTGTTCCTTTGTTAGAACGAGTTAATCTTTGTTACTACCAAGCAGATTTGAAAAAGTCTTTTTGCATTTTGATAGCCTACCTTTTGATGAAGGTTATAGGGTATTTTACATCACGCTACGCTCGCGTTTTTGTTTTTAATGTTTTCTTGTACTGACGCTATAGGTATCGGTAAATACAAGTCTTTTACGCATTTAGGTCTGTTAGGTTAAGTTGCCTGGGCTGATTTTGGCATTAAGAGAAAGTTAAAAATCTCACACTATCTTGTAACGAAATCAAGTAAAAAGTCGGGAATTAAAATAAAACTAAACGTCATAAAATCGCTTGCTAGTTGTTTTGAGTTAGCTTCTAATTGAGTTTCATGTGTAAATAAGTACGTTACTCTCGCTGATAATTGGGATACACTTTAAAAATTAAACTGAACGATTGACAATCAATGTATCTACGGTTCGAGGGAAGGGTCGGGCACATAGACTACTTGAGTATTTTTATGAGTCTTGCATGGACTATGTAGAACTCAGAAAAGAATAATCAGAAAACAGAAAACAAAAGAGATATTGAATATTTTTGGAAATAAATATGAGAAATGATATTGCTGAAAATTGTGTTTACAATCTCCCGTATATTATCAATTGAACGAATATAAGATAATATTTATATTGACATTAATATGCTATTGAGCAATAAAGGTAAAATATTTATAGCCGACTCAATATCACGCTCTATCTCCATTCAAGAACAAATATTTCCATATCGTCGTGCGTCATCTTAAAAATCTAGTGATAAACTTTTAAAATTTATCAACGATGTATATTACGTACTTATAAAACGTTTATGGACCAAAGCTATCGTAATAGTTAGATTCAAATATGTTATTCTCTCTTATTCATATGTTATTACGCCAATTAGTTTGTAGAGAAGGAAGATAAAAGCAATCACCATATCTTTAAGCAATGTGATATTTATTGACACTGGAAAAACTTTTATGCCACAGCATCATCGTAACTGTCGAAAAGATGTGGTTAAATTGTACTAAATTATTGCTATTTATATTATTCCTTCGTTAGTTAAACTTTCACTTCCATTAATATTGCTGTATAAATCTAGCTATGCTTCATACTGTGTGATATATCCACTAATAATTATTTGTCATTTACAAGCTACACTTAAGTGAAGTTGGACTAACAAAATAAATTTTGAGAGTGGAAAATAAATGGTTATCTTTTCACAAGTTTTAATTTATTAATGAACGTATAACTTGAAAGAAAGCCATTCTGATATCCGAAAATGAAAAGCGAACAATTATATATATGAATGATTTAATCGTTCAAAACATTATATACTTGTACAATTAAGTATACAGAGTAACATATCGTTTAGACATAAAATTATCAAGATGTGTATTGGAAAACAATTATTATATTACAACCGATATAGACAACTCTACCGCCTCAAAGTATTGTAAGATCTATGCAATACAGCGATATGTGAACGCAATACACATCTATTATGTGAACAGTCATGTACGTACTTCGCATACAAGGGGCATAGGCAGTACTATCTACATCTGCTCTACATACACGTGACGAAACCGAGGCGAGGCACAGCCTCGAACAATGGCACTGGCACCACACAATCCTGGTACGCGGTCACGACGTGGAATAACCGAAAAAAAAACAAAGCCGTCACTCCGTAAGCGTAAGGAGAAAAAAGAGGCGACTCGGAGCCCACGGCCGGAGTCTGGATTGATAGCGGCCGCTCTCAGCGCGGACCCACTAGCCCGCTGGGCGTGGCTTGCGACAGGTTAGAGGCGCCGCGCGGCGGCCGAAAAGTGGCCCATAAAAAATTTAATGGCAACCCGGGCGCCGGCGATCGATCCCGAGTGCCAACCCGCGCGCTCTTAGCCGGCCGACGGAAAAAACCGCGCCACGCCAACCCTCCAATGGCGCCGCGACGCCGCCCCTGGATCGCCCCCACCATACTTCGGCCGCGCCCCTATGCGATGCCAGCGCCGCGCCGCCCATACAAGCGGCGGAGATCCGTACTAAGCAGAGCGAGAGGGCGATACGCGCCGCCGCTCGTCCCCCGTACAATTTCCCCCGAACCGATCATTAAGTGTTTAAATTCAACGGGAGTTGGTTGTGTCGGATTTCTCCGGTCGGCGGGGCAGCGCTATTAAAATATCCACAGGCATTATCTCTAATTGGATACGGTTTTGCGCCTGTGTGCGTCGTCGTAGTCGCCGCGTCTCGTTTTTTTTTTCGGCTCGCTCGGCCCGCCAGTGGGCGCCGCGTTTTTCCCGTGGCCCGATGACTGCTATCGGCGCGTGTTTGGTGCGCGCTCGCCGTTGATCCGCGCGGGACCATGATCGTCGGCTAGGTGACGGCGTCGCTGTTCGCGGGTACCAACCGAGTGCTGCCGCGCAAAATGACATCTGTGACGTGACAGCACCAGAGGGGTACCAAACCGACGACGGGCGGAGCGCACGGTATTGTACTGGAGGAAATGACGCCAACGCGCCCCCTGATCGCGGATTCTCAGTTCGCGGATCACCAATAGATCCGCACCAAACCCTCTCCCCCCTCGCGTCGGTTTCGAGTACGGTCCAATTCTCTATCGGACCCGATCTAATAATCGCTATCTGGTACGCATTAACTTTCCGCTCTCCGTGATAATATAATAACGTCTCCTATCAATAACTGTGCAGAAATATAAGTGTGCGGAGATATATATCTATATATATATATATATAAACGATCCTAGTGTGACGATTTGGTGTAAACGAAACGAGAAATTAATAAAAATTGTGACAAAGTGATGCCGTGTTAGTTCGTCTGATACAGGTACAACCGTAAGTATTTTTTTTATTATTTATTATATCAAAGCGACGACAGTCACAGGTTAGGTCATGAAGTAACTAAATAAAAGCTATGGAATTCACTTTGAAAAATTCTTTTTTTCATACCACAAACGCTGATAAGGCAACATAGGCCTAATAAGATTCTAATAAGAAGACTCCTTGCAAAAAAATATTGTTTGGTATATTTCGAACATGTTTAGTTCCGTTTTGTTTTAAGTTATCAAGTTCAATTAATTTCACACACAAATATCAGGATTTAAGAAGATTATGTAAAAAAATGTAGGTAACCGATTACTGCAAAAACCGTTTGTTATTAAATTTAACAAACAAATCAAGAAACAAATCGTCATTTACAGCAACAAAATAAATTACGTGAACGAGAGCGTACATTTAATTTTGTAATGAAATTTATAATAAAATCCTCGAAACAGGTTTTACTGCATAAAAAAATTATCGTATCGCCAAATATGATTGCAATTTAAAGTAAATATTATTTAAATTGCAATTCGCTTTTGAATTTAATTTTTTTACCATACAGTATATTGCGACTAGTCTTGTAGAATAAACCTATTTTTGTACTAGTAGCTTTAAAGAGCTTTGAATAATACAAACTTCTATATCAGTTTTAAAACGTCACATGCCACACTTACTACTATGTTTTACTACTGGTAAGAGAACAGAGAATTTGAAGTAAGGAACAGTTTTTACAAAGTACGCCCCACTGTTGGGTAACGGCTTCCTCTTTACAGAGGGACATAGGCGATTGGGGTATGGGGGGGTGGGGGGTGTATTAAGACCACTCTTTCACAATTAAACATTTTTTTTTATTTATTAAAGATTCATTGCTTTATAAGCTACACCTTAAGCAAAGGGTTACAATGGACAGAATTAATGCCTAATGGCATTCTCTACCAGTCATTAGTCATTCCTCTTTACCGAAACTATAAAACGTAAATCTTCCTTGACAGGACGGTTCCTTAACTCTTAAAAGGCATTATTTTTAATCAAGAACTGTAGGAAGGTAGAGTCATAAAAATAAACCTGAAACCGTTCTTTTATTAAATCGATTTTCAATCAAAATATGGACTTTTATTAATATGGCTGATCAAAAGGACTAAAAGTGAAAAGGCGTCGACAAAAATCTTCCTACTATATATTTCAAAGAGCACCACCTAATAATGCGTCATAAGATGAGGGGCATATATTTGAGGGGTCGAACTCATACGAAGATATAGGTAGAAAATACAACACAAACAAACTCTGAGATTTATAAAAACGGATTTAGTAACTACATATATTTAATACATATGAGCCGTGATAGCTCAGCGTCCGGGCGCTCGCCTTTAATTCAATATATACTCGAGCAACCTGAGTTCGATGGCCGGCAGAAATGAAGTTTTTAACTTTAAGTGCTGAATTGTCACGTGCTCCGCGGTGAAGGAAAACATCGTGAGGAAACCTGCATATTTTCGAAATAATAACAAAAAAAATGTATTTCGAAGATATGTGAAGTCCGCCAATCCGCAGTGGGGCCGCGTGGTGGACTATGCCCTGATACTCTCTGTACAGAGGTCTTTGCCAAGCTGTGGGACATGTATAGGCTGTTACTTTACTTTTTTACTTTTATATATTTAAAACCAAGACATAGAACTCCAGTCATATACTATAAATTAGGCGTTTTTATTATTCTTAACTTTTAACCTAAGGCACGGTTTGGGATAGCTATTTTTTCAATCATTTACCATTTGGACATCGCTTTTAAAAGGTTAAATGCTCATATATTGCATTTATTACGAAAATGAAAAAACATTAATATAGTTAATATGTTGCTTTGCTAAATTTCCAACAGGTTACGCCGATGTTGACAACGAAAATGCGAACCAAACTTAATCGATTTTACGTGTCATACTAAAACGATTTCATTACAGTAATTATATTGTAAAACACCGGTTCTTCATAAAAGAGCACATTTCGTACTATATAATCGATAATAATTTATTATTTATTGGGGTAACTCTTAACATGGCGTCGCCACCCGTACTAATACCAATAAAGAGCTTCATTATGTCAATTTGTTCGTTTTTTATGACAATTAACAATTTTTCATTCACATTCTCGCCACTTCGACGGTTTGAATAAATAAAGAAGATGAAACAATCAATTACTCATCTCCATTTAGTATTTATGATGGAGCTGAGTAAAAATAATTATCTTACCATAGCATGACATAATTTTGAATTTAGAACAATGCCTTTTCGTTTATATTTTTAAGAGAAGAGGGAAAATGTACTCATTAAAAAACATACCTTGGTTTTATATCAAAAAATTGAGAAAGCAAACTAGGTATGACGTTATATTTTTTGTTTGTAAAGAGTCACCATGGACGCGTTTAAGAAATTTTTAGTAGAAAAAACGTCGTTTAATTTTAAACGTCTAAAAGTAATTTTTGTCGAATACGTTGAAGTGAAAGGCGCGGCCAAAGGCATGGGCTAGTCTCGGAAACTAATTAATTAACCATACGTCGTCGAACCCCTTTCTATTGCATTAATATATAATCGAAATGGTTGTTTTTGTACGGAGGTTAATCCACGTTAAGCGTCTAGGCGCATGAAGTATTTTCACCGTGATGTCATTCGTGGAACACGTCCAACGTTGTTAATGTATTTTAAGTTTATTCAAAAAGTTTTTGTTCTCTTAAAAAAGTACGGCCGCTTCTGTTTGTATGACGGAACAATAACTCTTTTCCTTAATCTAGAATCTAGATGACTTTAAGGTCTCGAAGTGTCCCTCACAAAAATGTCTAGATATTAGTAAAGGTAATTTGAAAAAGGATTGTCAATCAAAGTAATAAGTTTAATTTGCAGATTAATTGCTCAGTTAAAAACCAAATTCTCATTTTAATCGATAAAGTAACTGAAACATATTTAATAACAGTTAACACATTTATTTATGTAATCTTTATTGCCAACCTTCAGTAACAAAGGGCGGACTTAATGCCCAAAGTCGTTCTCTACCAGTCAACCCAGGATGTGGTGAGAGTTTATGGTAGGTGCAGCAAAAGATGCAAGAATAATAAAATACACACAAAATATACATAAAACCACATCTTACACTAGAAACTACGTAGAATCAGGATGACTTTAACTAACGAATGTAACTCTCCGTAAATGTTTGTACATTGAATCAATGGTCTTAAAGGTACTGCGCGCTTTGCACATATTAATGTCCAAAAATTTGCCTAAATTACTGAAAGGTAACTATGCAATGATTCACCAATTTCTAAACTAGTAGAAAATGCTTCATATGCTCTAGTATTATATCCTAAAATTGGAGACCATCAAAATTAAGCTGAATATGCTCATACTTCTGCTTGGGTATTCTGTGAATAGAAAAGAGTAAGTTTTATTGGTCTCGCCGAACTTATGGCTATAACTCCAGGGCCATTACTGAACATAGATTTCAAGGCATATTTTTTTTACACGACGTTATCTAGTACCGAAGTATGCATAGCTTGTACTATGGGTACTAGGTAACTGAAATAATTCGTACTTTTTCATCATTTTATCATACTTTTCTTACATACCCATACACTAGAACAACACAATTTATTCTCCAATAATGAGGATCGAACCCACACTCTGGTGCATGAGATACGCATCTCCACTCCGCCAATCGGGTCGCAATGATTTATTTAAGAATTTTATCATCCAAGTAAATGATTTCATACAGCTTCATCCCAATTCGAGAGCAATTGAAAATTGTCGAGTTTAGTATTGATTCCCGTTAACGCTCTTACAAGGAGACGCGGAGCTTTGCCTGCTGCATACAATGCAAATTCAATGAGAAATGCGCACTCGTCGGGGCCGCTTTAGGCCGGGACAGTTCGCGGGCCGTAGTCATTTGCCCCCTTATGGGGCGCGCCCACTTTGCAACGTAATGCTCTTCTCACTAAACGGAACGCGCTGACTTGAAATTTAACATCGCGCATCACCCGAGCCGCTGTTTTTGACCGATTATGGCTGCGTGTATCAAATTTTTAAGGGCATCTCGGAATATTGCGACCCAATTTTACCTGGTTTTAAAAAAGAAAGAGTTGATTGAGTTATTTAGATATAGATAATAGCCGTTTCAAATCGCTGCCGTATTTTTCCTCTCACATAAACTTGGCGCTATGTATCGTAACAACATTATAACATGATCCATAGAATTCCCTAAAATTGAGTTTATCTAAAAATTAGGAAATTACTACATATTCATTGCAACCATGAACAGGTGAACAATATCGACAACAATAACTATGAACAAATTTTATGACTGTGCGAATTGATTTTATTGTACTAACGCTAAGCTCTTCACTTGTGTAAGATTCCACATGATGTCTTTAATTATGTGTGCCAATTGACTTTTTGTTGTATACGGTTATCAAAAATTCCAAATAGCAAAATAAATAATGCATAGTAATAGGATCGCCATTTGTCCAAAGGATGTCCTGACCAGAAGCTAGATGCAAATTATAGCTTTAGCAAGGTTCATACATTTATTAAAAATAATTGTGGTTAAGTAGACATAAACGTTCTTGGACACGTCTAAGATACTTGTTATGTATATTACTGGTTACGCTAGAAAATTTTGCAACTTTATGTAATATCTACTAGTTTTATATAATATAGATAAGTGATGTTAAGTTTGAAACTGTGTTGGAGTTAAAAAGTTTAATGTTAAAATGAACAATATACAAGCATCATGGTATTAGAAATATAAATCCCAGAAAAACATTATGCTCCAATACGATCAATTGTAGCAGCGGTTTCAGTATACCCCCTTCTATCGTTCCTTTTGAATAGTTCCTCATCTGGATATACAATTTCTATATGTTCTTCATATGATGTTTATATTTCATCTTATCCATGATATTATGTTTACGTAGTACTACAATTTTGTCTTGGCCCTGTCATTTTCAAAACCTAGCGTGGCGCGTGATATGTATCATTACAAATTCTCTTTATATTTATTCTCAAATATATCTTAACTTTAAGATATCCATATTAAATCCATCTTCGTCATTCAACAATGATTCCTGATGAGAACTTAAATATTACGCTGCTACTGCTTTATTTATTACGAAATACCTTAAACCTATTGTAAACGCATTTGAAAAGTCACTTGGAATATTTATGGGAAAGTTTTTAATCTGTCATGTATTAAATTTCCGCCACCGGAAAAATGACGCACAATTGATACAGAATATACACGCCCCGCCGCCATATTACGTTCCATTATTAGATTATTACAATGACATCTCAATCGCCAATGCGGGGATCGCCGTCGGACAATTACAACCGTTCGCAATTACAGAACTAGTCACCATATAAGGCTAATACGACAAAATGGCGGCTCGCTTCACAGATGATTAATGGCCTTCGATGGCGCGAATGTAGTACCGCCATTTTAGATATGCGCTTTTCAGCGTAGACTCGCGGTACGTTTTCGGATTGAACGTACCGGTTGTTTAGCCGTGCCCAGTTCTTAATCCGAGATCCTTAAGTAACTAAACGTAATCGATGGCTGAAGGGTTCTTTCTTTTTAAATTCTAACTTCCATTGACCTAGAGCACGTGCCCAACGACGAAGACACTTGCGAACTAAAGTCTTAACTATGTACCACACTTTTGTCTAACTCAGTTCCCGTGTTTTGGTACTTTGGCCCGTTGACGTATATAAGCGGTCATATTATGGCACGGTCCCAATACATAGAAATTTCAATACATAGAAATCTTTGTAAGAATAAGTAAAAATTATGCTGGCTATTTGTTTTTGAATTTGTTTTGGATATTTTCCCCTCTTGATCTCGAGGTTGGATTTTCCCTTACCTTTCAACTTCGTATTCTGTTTTATTCTTGATAATCACTTGTCTTCTTAATGTTTTTAATATAACATATCGCAACCTATGGTAGATTGTGTGGTGTTTCTGGAGACTGGTGTAAAGTAAAAAAGTATATACTTTTCAATTTTTGAGATAACTGAAGCATACACGTACAATAAATCTTCGTAGATAAGTCTTTTATATTGAAATCTTAGAGCTGGCTAATATACACATGTAGACATTAGATTTTGGGTCAATGAGAAGTTTATTTCGAATTTATAGGTATCATTCATTGATATCGGCGTACTTCTCACTGCTACTTTCCAGTTCCAGTATGTTTCTTCGCATACAAGGCCGCCGAACTGGTGTCGAGGAAGTCGCAAAAAACCTTTTTTCATTGTAAATAGATCGATGACTAGACTACTGCTTTCATTATACAGATGGACGCGCAACCTGACTCCAATCCAAATAAGGAAATCTACGCCGTCGCTTTTTTTTAGTTAGTACCTTTATAAGAACGTTTAATACCATGCAAGGCAGCGAGATGGCCATCAGAGATCTAGATGAAAATTAAGAATTAAAGTCGGGAAGTACGTTGGTAAACTATTGCTGTTTGCAAGGGAATTTGAACTAATGGCGGTAATCAAAATCAAAATCAAATGTCTTTATTCAACATAGGACTATTACACTCGCTTATTGATAGTCAAAATACTACCACCGGTTCGGAAAAGAAAGCCACTGTTCTGAGAAGAACCGGCGAAAGAAACACGGCGGGATTTTTTTTAAATAAACAGTTTGACATTAATTCGTCACAAATACAAAATAATAACCTATCGAATTTTCATCGTTCAGCTTTTTAATGTGTTACAAATTTGTGGTTTACGGTGGCGGACACTTATTACGTTCAAACAAGTTATGAATATACAATTGTTCGTTGCATTATAACAATAATTAACCGCAATTTAAAGACCCTACAATGTTCTTTACTACCAACTTTTCTTTTTAAATCATTTTAACGTTATTAGAAAAAAAAAAAAAAATAACAGGGCGTCCGGTTTGCAGATGGTTGCGATTAAAATAAAAAAAACAATATTATGCTTTTTAAAATCCGTCACAGATAATATCCCTGTTCATGTCATAATAAAGCAAAACATCGGAGTGTCGTTAAGCGCGTTAGCGTGCAAATGAAATTAAACTTACATGTTTCTGCATAATAAACATTATTAATTTCTTAGACTTGCGATCTGATTACAATTAAATAATTATTAGGGCTTAATGCGATCGCTATCTGTGTATGAAACGCATTTTACGAACAACGGACTTTTAAAAGCAAGTGTTCGTATTGAAGCAAGTTGTATTTTTAAAAGCTGTCCATTATTTGATTATAATTTAACACATCTTTTTGGATGGCTTCTAAGTGAAAAAGTGTTTTTAGTGAAATGAAACATCTTAATGTGACTAAAAACCGGGAACCGACTTAAAATACTCGCACAGTATACATTTTCTATTTGATTTTGAGGATATACCTGATGTATGTCGATTCGAAAGTCCAGTACAGATGATATTAAAATATGTGACCACATGGGATCGAAAGCGAACCCAACACAAAGAGAATTTTTAAAATCGTTTCATAAATGACTGAAATGAAAGAAATGATGAAGTTCTGAGGTACTACCACACATAAGAAACATACAACCCGGTTGAGAATCTTCTCTCTTTTTGAAGTCTGTTGACAAAAAAATATTACTAGTACTCTTTGGTAGTATATTTCTATAAAAAACAATTTTTACTGAATCAAAAATTTTTATCTGTAATTGATAGCAGAATCTAAGAGAACATTGTTAGAGGTAAGAAAATCAAAATATGTTTTGATTTTTTGTCGAACGCATCGCTGGAGCGAGCCAAAAGATGTAGATTTAAAATTTATTTGACAATTTAACTAAATTAAGGGAATAAATTTTTATGAAACCTGAAAGTGCCGTTCAAATCAACAGAGTGCAAGGTTGTATCCTATTCAATGAAAAAAACAACTAGCAATAAATCCAAATCGCGAAAGATCTCATAAAATTTGTACCTCTTATTTATATTCTTATATATATTTATTTTAGAAAATAACACTTTATTGAACAAAAAATATTTACAATATTGACAAATACATACTAAATTGCACGCTATCTATAAGAACGTTAGCTGCATTTCCATAAATACGTTCAATGAAATTTTGTTTTACAATTACAACCGAGTTATCCAAAGACAATACGATAAAAATGTTTGTAATATAAAGTTTTAGAATTGTATGGAATCGAGGTCGTGAAAGCTACCTTTTCACGAGTTTCTGGTCAAAATTCGTATTATTTGTTCGTAAAAAATACAAGAACTTTGCTTCGATTTAGTCGAGATTGTGAAGATTCCGTTCTGACTGTTTCAGTAGTCAAATCGGTCAAATTTAATCATTTCACTCGACGTGCTCTAAATGCTCAATGTTGTACGTGAACAAGTTACTGAGAATTTTACGTTGTTTTGTTAAAATCCCCGTCATTTTTACAAAAATTATTCATTAGTTTCAAATTATTACAAAATTTATCTCAAACGTTTCTGTTTTACTTTTAACTAGACTACTAATATTACTATTTTGCTAGATTTTTGAAATAGTTTATTAAATAGTAATATTTCATTTGTTAAGACGCTGTCTTTATGCTACGAGCTAGGAATTGCTTATTCGGAGAATGGTTTTTGCAAATAACTGTTAAAATATGTTAACAAATTAAGGGCCGAATACTGAAACGTTACCTAAATATTTAAAGGCATCTTAAACATTTGAGCAGCTCGTAAACACTAAATTCGTCAAGTTAAGTTGTACCGAAACGCTACTCAGTGAAAATTTCGTATACTGAAACGCTATTTAGCTGTCAAACCAACGTCTTTTAAACATAGGTTTAGAATAATTGAAATCTAGAAAGTCATTTCGTTTTAAATTATGATTTACTTTGAATAACCCAAATTTACAACGAAACATTTTCTGGAGTTCTCTATACATT